ATATAAACAAATAAAAATCCCAGGCTCCATTGGTTTGATTTGCAAAACACATGACATGGCCAAATTTTAAGTGCGAGGGCACTATACTTGTAGCGAGTACTCGACGAAGATACGAAGAAGGACAGCCGAGCAGCGATCGCGTTCAGGAAGGACGTCCGTGTCGTCAGCTTGGGGTGCAGTTTCGGCCCCCGTTGGGCTGAATCCTCCCCTCAATGGCGGTTATGGGCCGGGCCTCCGCTTCGACGTCGTCCTGCAAGGAGAGAGTAAATACTTATTACAAATGCTGTGAACAAGAGATTCTGTGAAGGTGCCCCCACAATAAACGTCCCCGTCAAACGTCCTCTTGCCCGCACTACTGGGGGGGGGGGGCGCTCTGGGCGGGCCGCCCGCCTCACACGGCTGCTTGACAGGTCGGCCTACCCAACGCGAGGCAGGCGCTCCGCTTAGCGTCTCCTCGTGAAGCGTTTATTGCGGCGACACCACCGTTGCGATAGCGCAGTTTTTAATCGACAAAAGCTGAACAAATTACCTCACCCTTCGCTCGCCATCAACAATCAGATTCGCCATCAGCTCTATCGACTCCGCGCGGGCGACCCCTGGGTCCCGGACTTGACGTTGATCATATCCGGCTGGTACAGCAGCGTGCCTGAACAGAAAATAAACCAACAATAATTAAACATGCGCGCTCCAGTTGCGATATGTAGAAAACACGTCGAATGTGCTTTGAACGCCGGTGGTGCGAGTGGGTTTGCTTGCCTACTCACTGGGAGCGAGCAAACACACCCGCACCAGCGGCATGAGAAAAAGACCTGGTACAGTACGATACTTACGCGCCAATCAACGTCCACTGGCGGAGTCTCTGGTTCCATCGTCAGTATTTCCGGCAAGTCCTCCGTCGAGGACAGCAGGGACGCAGCAGGGACGCCTTCCTCGCCAAGGTGGACGGTTGCAGGGGGTCACTCTGAAAACACGTGTACGCCGTTGAACACAACTTAGTACTTCGGCGCCATGTACCGGGTGTTGCATAAAACACACAGGTGCGGGCGGCTTTGCCTACCCAAGGGGCTTTGGCGCCTTACGGGCAGAGCGGGTAGGCAAACCCGCTCGCACCTGTGTCTTTTCTGCAACACCCGGTACTGCGACAAGATTATTTTTTGCAGCTAACATAGCTAATGCATTTGCTCATTTTTGATCTTAGCTAAGAGTATATCAGCTGATATGACTTTTTTAATAGCTATCTAAACCAATAATTAGATAGGCGAGCCAATATTCATCTAATTCTTTATTTTTTACTGAGGATATAGGTCTCGGTCGGTACTCACCTGTGCGCCTGCTCTGTGTAGTCTCAGTTGCTGCCCGCAGTTGTCTCATTCGCTGCTCCCGGGCGCCGTCTCTGCAGCGGACGCCTGCTCTTCCAGTGGCTCATCGTTGCATCCCAAGCTCTTCTTTCTTTTGCAGCCGGGCTCGCCGTCGGTCTCTGTTAGTGGCTCCTCGCTGCTCTTCTTTCTTTTGCAGCTGGGCTGCTCTCCAGCCCCTTCTAGTGGCTCTTCTTTGGGCTCCACCCTCTCCCTCGTTTCTTCGCTTGCGACCGCCCCTCCCGCGGCCTCCTCTTCAGCCTCCTCCTCCTCCTCCGGCGGCTCCTCTTTGGGTTCCAGGACCTTCTTCTTCCGGCCGGCCCCCACCGGCCGCCCCCTCTTCCTCTTCTTCCACTGGATCCTCTTATTCTTCTGCCGGGTGATGGCCGCGTAGCGCCGCATGTACTCGCGCGACTTCGCGATCCGCTCCTCGCGCTCCTCCGGCGTCTCGTTGGCCAGGCGCCTGTGGTAGCGTTCGTAATGTTTCCTGAGCCTCGTCTCGCGCTCTTCCGGCGTCTCTTTCCGAATCTTCCTCCTGGCGGCCTCGGATATCTTCTTCAGCCTCTGCTTGCGCTCTTCCGGCGTCTCGTTGTCGTAGCGCCGCTGTTTGTCTTCGCGCACGGCCCTCAGCCGGGCCGAGCGCTCTTCGGGAGTCTCGTTGGCTCGCTCCAGCCGTTTCGCCTGGTTTTTCCTCTCCCGCCGTGCCTGGCGCTCCTCCGCGCTCTCGCCCGCGTACCTTCTCTCCAGTCGGGCGCGGCGCTCCTCTGGAGTCTCATTCTGCATCTTCTGCAGACGGCGCCGGCGCCGCTGATTTTCTCTGATTCTCGCCAGTCTCGCCTCGCGCTCCTCCGGAGTCTCTTCCTCACGCAAGCGCCGCTCTCGCTCTCGCCTCTCTGCCCTCTTCTCCTCCAGCGACTTGGCCTCTGCCCCTTCTCCTTCCTGTTTCTGCCTGTTGCGGCGAGCGCGAGCGCGGTCGCGTTCCTTCTTCCGCCTGGCCTCTGCCCGCTCTGGATGTAAAGTTTCCTCGATCTCCTTCTCTTCGAGCCGTCGCCGGCGAACGCGCTCGCGGTCCCTCTCCCGCTTAGCCTCGCGCTGCTCCGGCGTGAGGGCTTTTCTTTTGACGACCCTCTTGGTCTTGGTTTGCTGTCCGGGACCACTCGCCCTCGCTCCGGCCTCTCTCTGGCGCTCGGCCTCGGGGGGTTTGCAGGCCACGAGGACGTCGGGGTCTATCCCAAACAGGCCCTGCGGTTCCTGCGGCCCGTCCTGAGCTCCAGCCGAGCCTTTCGGCGAGGACACCACAGCGGATAGTGGGCGGCCGATGGGCCTCAGCTGCGGACACATGTAGAGCACCACGATTTTCCTTGGCTCACCCGCTGGTGACACAGTGGGCTGTGCCTGTGCGACGACGCGCGGCACAAGGCGTGCTGCAGCTAATCGTTTCCTGCGTTCCTCCGCCCGTCTCTCGGACTCCAGCTTGACGAGGTCGTCTTTGCCGCCCTTCCAGCCGGCCGGCGGCAGCCTGGTGCAGACGTCGTAGTGCTCGGCGGGTCCGACTCCCGTCCTGCGCAAGACGATGGGGTCGGGGTCGTTCCCCAGGGCGGCCACCTCGAGCACGCCGTCGTGCACGACGGCCACGGTGCGGTAGAAGGCCTCCCCGGCCGCGCGCAGCTCCACCGCGCCTCCGCGGGCGTCGCTCTTCACCATGAAGAGGCGGTACGAGACCTGGTCGGCGAAGTGGGTCAGCGGGGCGTAGGTCTCCCAGTGTTTGAGGACGTGGCTGACCACGCCGTGGCGCACCACCGGGTGGTGCTTCTCGCCGCCAAACAGTCGCTCCGCGAGCGCGCGGAAGGCGCAGTTGGCGCCCTTGGGCACGGCCTTGTACACGGCGCCGTACTCGTCGGAATAGTCACCGACCGGGGGCTGCTTGGCGATGAGGGAGGATACCACGAGCTCGCCGCCCCCCAGGCGGTGGTGCAAGGCCTCCGCGGCCGCGGGCACCTCCACGGGGCCGTTGCTCGGGGAGTCAATGTCAGCCTCGTCAGGCTTCTCTGACAACACGTCCGTGCTTTCGTCGGCCCCTACTGACAACACGTCCGTACTTTCGTCGGCCCCTACTGACAACAGGTCCGTCTGCTCTTGTTCCCCCGTCGTGTCGTTCAACTCAACCTCTTCCTTGATCCAGACTGTGTGCGTTTCCATGCACTGCTCGTCTTGGTCCTGGACCTCCGGCTCTGGCTCCTCCAGCGACTCGCTGAACTCTTCACTGGCTGGCACTTCTTCGGGCTGCTCCGCCGAGTCTCGCAGCTCCCCGAGCCATAGCCCCAGCTTTTCTCTCGCCAGTAGTTTCGCGCGCCTGGCACCTCGCGGTCGCACGACTCCAACATTGTTGAGCTCTGATGTCTCACTCTGCTCGGCCGGGCTGCTCCCGGCGCCGTCGCCGACGCCGTGGTGCACCGCGCCGTACTCGTCGCAGTCCCCGAGCGTCTCTAATTTCACTTGGTTGAGGAGCTCGACGGGGACCTTGTACTCCTCCGGCTCGCCGGGAGCTGGGTCGTCCTCCTGTTCACTGCCCATGCTGCTGTCAGTCACTACACGCGCTAGACGTCACTCACAACAAACGCACTGTCGAGCGAGCATACGCGCAGGAACCACCACTGCGCTGCGGCCTGGCGCACGCACACAACACACACACACTAGCACACAGCTCAGCTGCTCTACAGACGCGCGCGCCAACACACACTGTGTGACACACACGCACACACACACAAACGAGCTACGGCGCGGTGCGGAGGAGCGTCCGTCGCGGACGGCGCGCGCTGGGCGCGGCGGCGTGGCGGGCGCAACCGGCGGCACTGCGCGTTGCTGCTCGGCTCGGCTGC